TGGCCGCGACTCTGAGACTTCTGAACGAGCACGATATGCAACATCACCAAGCGCTCAATCGGTGACGTCTGAGTCTTAAGGTCGGTCAAAAATTGGGTGTCTACAATTATGATTTGCAAATCTTGTATCATCCAGGAAAGGCTAATACCGTAGCAGATGCCTTGAGCTGAAAATCCAGTGCGAATTTGTCATGTTTGCTATCCAACCGAAAAGAATTGTTGACTGACCTAGAACAAGATGGGCTATTAACTGCTATTGCCGCTCAACCTACAATTCTTTGACAAGATCAAACAGAAACAGTGCGAGAATGAATACTTGAAAAAGATCACGGAGGAATTTGATTCAAAGCCGAGGCCAGGATTTGTGTTTGAGAATGATGTGCTGAAATTTCAGAACCGTCTTTGTGTTCCCGATTGTTATGATTTGAGGAAACGTGTTATGACCGAAGCTCACAGTAGTAAATTTGCTATGCATCCGCGGAACATGAAGATGTATCATAATTTGAAACAAAATTTTTGGTGGCCTGGAATGAAAAAGAGTATTGCCGATTTCGTGGCTAGATGTCTACATTGCCAACAGGTTAAAGCAGAACACTAACGACCCATTGGTTTGCTACAACCACTTCCAATACCGGAATGGAAATGGGAGCACATTACCGTGGACTTCATTGTGGGATTGCCTCGTTTTTCTCGAGGTATGGACTCTATCTGGGTTATAGTTGACCGTTTAACTAAATCTGCCCATTTTCTGCCTGTCAAAACTATTTATAACGCTAATAAATTGGCCAATATCTATATGACTGAAATTGTGAGATTGTATGGAATGCCAGTATCTATTGTGTCTGACAGGGACTCAAAGTTTGTATCGAGATTTTGGCAGAGTTCGCAACAGGCTTTGGGGACTGAATTGAGACTGAGCAGTGCCTATCACCTACAGACAGATGGCCAAACTGAACAAACGAACCAAACTCTGGAGGATATGCTCAGAATGTGTGTGTTAGACTTCTAAGGGAATTGGGAGACCTACTTGCCATTAGCTGAATTTGTGTACAACAATAGTTACCATTCAAGCATTAGAATGGCACCTTACGAAGCTTTATATGGAAGAAAATGTCGTTCTCCGATATGTTGGGCTGAAGCAGGTGATAGACCTTTGTTGGGACCGGAACTTGTGCAAGAAACAACCGAGAAAGTGAAACTGATACAGCAGCGTCTGAAAACTGCACAGAGTCGGCAAAAGAGCTATGCCGATGTTCGAAGAAGAGAGAGGGAATATGAAGTTGGGGACCACGTGTTCATAAAGGTGACCCCGATGATGGGTCAAACTCGGTTTGGTGTTAAGGGAAAATTGGCGCCAAGATATTTTGGACCTTATGAAGTCCTCGAAAAGATCAATCCGGTATCGTATCGGGTATCCTTACCTCCAGTAATGGAACACATGCATAACGTCTTTCATATATCGATGCTACGAGAATATTTGAGGGATTCACTCCACGTCATCGAACCGACACATGTGTTTTTGAAAGATGACTACACTTACGAGGAAAGACATATCCAGATTGTGAATCGCTGGATCAAAAATTTAAGAAATAAAGAAATACCGTTGGTGAAAGTGGATTGGCAAAACCACGGAGGAACTTATGCAACCTGAGAAACCGAGGAAGACATGATGAAGAGATATCCAGATTTGTTCCCATTGGACCCAATGTTGATTTCGAATGAAGGTAATTCGAGTTTGGAGGACCAAACTCTTTTAAGGAGGAAAGACTGTAATAACCTCGACCTCCAATTAATGCTAAACCATGATTATTTATGCCTAACAGTAATTTAGAAGGAGTCCGGAATTAAATTGCATATGTATTGCATTATCTTTGTGTTCTCATCTGTTTGCCATAAAATGATCTGTTCATGTTTTATGTTTTAAACTGCAAATTGAAGGTCTTATCGGCGGCCGAATCTGAAACTGATTAGTGTTTTGTGTTAATTAGAATTAATGTGATTTTATGGTAAATTTAGTTAAAATTTGATTTGGTATGATTAAATTGGATTAAATAATGCTAAATGACATTAGTTGAGTATTTACACGTTTGCCACTTAGTGGGCCACCTTTACAAACTTGTGTGGGACTTAATTCACACCCTTAAGGCATCATTTCTTCATCCATATCTCAGACCAAACCGTGAGAGTGAGAGAAGAGTAGGAGAAAATTTATTCAACAAGAATTTTGCTTGATCTTTGGAGATTTGAAGGAAACTTGGAAGATTTGAGCTTCTACACTTAGAATTCAAGACCTAAGGTAGATGTGGGACTTAATTCACACCCTTGAGGCATAATTTCTTCATCCATATCTCAGACCAAACCGTGAGAGTGAGAGAAGAGTAGGAGAAAATTTATTCAACAAGAATTTTGCTTGATCTTTGGAGATTTGAAGGAAACTTGGAAGATTTGCGCTTCTACACTTAGAATTCAAGACCTAAGGTAGAGATTCTCCATTGTGAATTTAAGATTAATTCTTGCATGGTTCATGGAAGATTAGAGTTTAAAGTCAAGAATTGGTTGAAAATGTTGAATTAAGGCTTAAATCATGCATGCATGTTCATCTCTTAGCATTTTGAAGTGTCTTCATGGAAGTTCTTGCATACAAGCTCATATTCTAGCCTTAGTCCATGAATTCATCATGATTTTGAGCTCAATCTTACATTTGGTCATGTTTTAGAGCATTGGATTTAAAATGAACACTTGCATGTTAAGCTCTTGTTTTGTTCTTGAAGTTCTATTTGAAATTGTGTTTAATTGACTCACCTTTGGGCTTTGATTTTACAAATTGATCTTTGAAACATCTTATACTATGAGTTTACAAGTGTTTTTTAGAAAATGGGCCCAAGAGGTCGAGTTTTGAGGTGTTGAATGCTTGGTTTGAGCTTGGGAGGCAAATTTGAAAATTCCAGAATTTGGCTTCCTCGCTCGAGCGACCATCGTTTGTTCAGAGCTTTGCTTGAGTGAAGGAATGGTGGCTCGAGCGTAAATTGCAAGCTCTCAAGTTTTTGGTGCACGTAGACGCACGCTCGAGTGACGACACCTACACTCAAGCGAAGAGCTGTGTCTCACGCTCAAGCGAGCATCGAGCGGGCATCGAGCATAAAATTTCAACAACCAGTACTTTTGCATTTTTACAGACCACTTGAGCGAAGGAGTCTACGCTCGAGCGACCCCTCTATTTTGACAAGCTCGCTCGAGCGAAGAAAGCCACGCTCGAGCGAGACCCCTGTTTTCAGCAACTTTTGAAAAATGTTTTCCAAGGCATCTTTGCATCCTCATTCCATCCTAGGCATTCATAGGCCATGTTTAAAACTCTATAGTAAGGATTTAAGGTTAGAAACACACTACGAACCAACGACGTAAGTTTTGTGCAATTAGAATGTGTGTTTCAAGTGTGTGTCCGTTATTTGTTATGTAGGTCACGTGCCGCGTATCGTGTGATCAATCTGCTCCGTCTGTCTGTTTCAAGGCCAACTGTGAGTAATAATTTAGTAAAGTTATGTTCAAACTGTATCTACTTTCTGTGTGATAAAACAAGGTCTGTTTTCCGAAATGATATGTTCTGTACAATGAATGATTGTTCAATTTCTGACATGTACTCGTGACATCCTTAGAATCATGTGATATCTGTTAGCTGTTACCCGGTATCGAAGGTTCCTTTATGGAACTTATTTCTGTCTGCACTCTGTTACCCGTACCGGAGGCCCTGTCATGGGGGCTCAGCTTCTGTTCTGTTCTGTTGCCCGGATCCAGAGGTTCCTTTATGGAACTGGTTATTCGTAACCTTACGTGTATACATTCTGTTTTGTTCTGTTCTGTTCTGTTTATGCTAATAGATGTATCACGTAAACTTAATCATGACTTATGATTTCTGTCTGTATATGAATTTGATACAAATCTGAATTATGATTTCTGAATCTGTACGAACTCATTCATTGAAACCCTTTACTCTATTATTATTCACTGGGCTTTAGCTCACAGTTTATATTATGTATGTAGGTGAGCCGGCACATGACCAGGGCCAGAGTTGACGACCTTCTGTTCTATTTTTGTCAGCCAACTATTGTGCCTCCCGAGGAGGTTCCGAACGAAGCCTAATGCCATGGCTGTTTTTTTGTATTCATGCTGGTCTTTGTGTATGCTCTGTAAAGTCAGGTCTTGGGAAGTACATTTTGTAAATGCCTTGTAAATATTATGTATCTAGACTGGCATGTTTATGTGTATATAAATAAGTTTTGAAATGTTCTGTCCCATGTACGTTATCACAGCTCATTGGATCTTATCTATTTTGTATTATTACTTCCGCATCCCCTTATTATTTGCTAATCTGTTCAGAGGCCTTTGGTAATCCACGGATTACTGGCCAGTTACGGTGCTAAACCTATAGGGGCGGGTTTGGGTCATGACAGTTGCAATGGTATTTGTGGTATGAAAACCATTTGTCCTTTCCGATCCCCAACAACAATTTCAGCACAAATGATGAAATCTTTGAGATCTTGACAAATAAGTCGCGTTCCATTGCACAAGCCTATTGAAGGATCTATGTTTCTTAAAGTCATGATCGGACTATTGATTTTCAATTCTAAATGATGAGGTGGGAGACCATTTGGTTCAAGAGAATTCAAGAAGTCTTCATATTGTCCTTGATCATTTGGATCGATTGTCTTGTCGATGCTTGTATATAATCTACCTTTTGTTGGGAATTGTTTGATCAACAAATCATTTATTTCTTGTACACAATCATTTTTTGGAGTGAGCACAACATAATTAATCATTGAAATTGGATCTTTTGAGTAGTTCTTGAGATTTGGAAAGACAATTTGAATCAAGTCTTTGATAGAATTTTCAGCATTTGAAAAATTGTTAGAAATTATCATAGATGCTGGTATTTTGATTTTGTTTTGATCATTGACTGATTCAGATCCATTGCTAATGCGCAATGAGTAATTGCTGAAGGAAGGATCATGCCTTGCTCGCATCAGTCAACTTTATTTTCTCAACAGATTTCCATAATTCTGAATTGACCGAGCTAGCATCAATTGAATCATATTTTGTTCCTTTGGGAATGACTGGTAGTATTTGTCGAAAATCACCACCCAAAACTACAACTTTGCCTCCAAAGAGTAAGTCTGACTCATTGATATCTTTCAGCATATCATTCAATGCCTTAATGTTTTGTCTCTTGGCCATGGGTGCCTCATCCCAAATGATTAGTTTTGCCGTTCTCAAAAGATTTGCAAGCCCATTTTGTTTACCTATGTTACAAGATTTATATGTATCAACATCTATAGGTATTTTGAAATGAGAATGGGCCGTGCGCCCTCCTGGGAGAATAGAGGTTGCTACTCCAGATGTTGCTGTTGCAAGAGCAATGTAATTCTTGGATCTAATTGCTGCCAACAATGCCTTCTATAAAAAGGTCTTACCAGTGCCTCCAGGACCATTTATGAAAAAACACCCCTGATTTCCTAAGAAGACCCTATTTAAGGTTTTGTCAAATACTACTTTTTGTTCCGAGGATAACAGAGAAATAGACTGGTAATCAGCTTCAGAAACAACAATATTCATTTCTTCTTCAATTTCGCAACAGGTATCTTGATTATCAGATGAAAGCACGTTGTCAGAGCAAATATTGAAATCTTTGATATCTTTGCTCATTGATTGAAGAGTTGAATTTATGCTTTGTAGAACTTTTTTGAAAATTTCTTGTTTTAAAAGATTTGTTGTTTTGGCATAATCCTCTACCATGTAGTCTTTGAATTTTTCCCACAACTGCTTTGGATTATTAGGAGCACAATGAATGAGAATGGTTGCAAACAATCTTCTTAGAGAGTAAGGCATTTGGTAAGAGATTGCTTCCTCCAAGCATTGTTCAAGATTGTTGTCTGATTGTAAGAGACCATAGAGAAGGGCAGCTTCTCGAAAAGTTTTTGCTTTTCTTCCATTTATGGTTCTCAAAGATTCAAATGATGTAGGCCCTCTAATGTTGTTTAGAAGGAACCTAAGGCAATATCTTTCACCTTGTGCAGGATGTGCTGTGACAATGCACCCAATAACATTGTCCTTTTTTCGCTCAGTCCACATTCTATCTTGTTGCCACCAAACAAAATGTTCAGGGAATTCCTTATATAAATATTTTCCAAGATTTGCCTTTTCATTTGACTTGTTCATCAAAAAGAATTCAGTCAACATTGTTTTTGAACGGATGGGATTATTTAACACAGAATTTAGGTCATCTGAAGGATTGAAAGTAACAAATTGTTGGTGTTCAAGGTGGATTTGAAGATGGATTACTGATGGGTATATGTCATTCAAAGAGAATGCATAAATTCTCCACATTGCCTCTGGAGGTGAAATCCATCTTGCGGACTGAAATTGTTGGATTTCATCTATGATTTCTGATTGATTTTCTTGAACAATATGGAATGCAATTTTATCATGGCCTTTGTAAATATACTTGTACAAATATTTGACAGCTTTGATTGTTGAACAAATTTCCACATTAATGTGGCAATCATATTTGGCAAGAAGATATGGATTGTACGGAACTACCCAACGGTTATCCAAAATTTGCCCTCTGATTTTCACTTGATTACCATCAGCACGACGCTTGTATATTGGGTATGAGTCTTTGGAAGATCTTGTTATAGGTTCAAAATTTTTGGGATAATGATTTTTGCATTTTCCATTCTTCAGGCAAATGTTGTTTGGATTCATTTCACCATAAGGTCCATGCATCATGTGTTTCACCACCATAGAAAACAAATGAGGACGTTTTTTTTTTATCAAGAAGTTCAGCAGATACGATTGAATCATAAGTATCAGGAGATAAAGGCTTTTGTCTAGGTACTAGAATTAACAATAGAAGCATATGTGGAAGACCTCTCTTTTGAAATTCAATGACATAGACATATGCAACGACTTTTCCAAAGATTTGATGTTTTATGATGTCATCCTTCAGTTGTTCCATTTTTGCTCTAAAAACACGAGAGGTTAAATCTGGTCTATTTTGAGCTTCCTCATTAGGTCCTAACTCAGCTTTAATCTCTGGCCATGCTGGATTACAAGTCATTGTAAGAAAGATATTAGGTTTGCCAAATCGCTGGACCAAAGCCATTGCATCAACATATCGACGTCTAAGATCTCTTGGACTACCTATGAATGACGGTGGTAGTATAATCCTGTGACCAATCTTTGAACCTCTACCTTCACCTGTTGTGACACTGTCTATGATTCCTTGATACAAATCAGCCCTAATTTCTCTTTGTTTGTTTTGAAAGAACTGAAGTCTAGATGTTTCAATCTTGACATACATATCAACACAATACTGTTGAAAGAGACAACCAGAGCGGAGTAAGATTGAAGAATCATTGGGTCGTATTTGAAGCTTGTAGCAGTAGTATTCACGACAAGAAATGGTTGTTTTCTTATTCTTTTGTTTCTGAAACACTGAAATATATTTTTTTTTAGTTAGGAGTAAAATTTTTTTAATACTATTTAATTGATAAGGAGAGGATCTATTTATCTTGGGCTTCTTTTATGAGAAGGTCTAAAGCAGTAGTAGCTTGATGAACACTAAGAATAGATTGTTGATGGCATGTGATTTTTGTTTGGTTTTTGTCAACTCTCCCAATACCATAATGCCATCCAGATTCACCATATGGAAATAACAATGGATATTGTAATGGGTCATAACATCCAAAATACCATTGAACTTTTTCACTATGACCAGAAACTTGATGAACAACAATATCTCTTGAGATTTCTTTGGTTAAGACATCATTTTCAGACCAAATTGCTGCCACTTGTGAGGCTGAAGGTTGATTGTAGACTCTCTGATCTAACGATACATCAGATCTAATATTAATTTGTACAGAGTTCAAATGATCTATGTGTTCTAATCTCCTAAAGAAGATTGAATATGGATTCAGATGTGAAATCTTTATGAGCCTTTCAAGAATAACAGGATTTAGCTTTTCTGAAGATTTCATTCTGTTTTGGATTTCATGATCAGTGTCATAAATGTAGAGCTGTAGATGACTAAGATTTTCATCAGAAGATGTAAGCTCATTAATGAAGTGATAAACTTGACCTTGTATCCTGAATGTATAGATTCCTTTATTTCTTCGACACAATTCCTTGTCATATTTGACTCCAAAAGATGTGAAAGCAAAGCAATTGTTATATGTTCGAACATAGGTACGAAATTCTTTTACTTCCTCAGAGTTAGATGTATATAACCAGTCAAGTTCTGGAGGACAGTTACTGGAAACCAAAGAGACTTGTCCACCCATACAACAAAAGCTATTAGGCTCAAGGTAAAACTGTTTCGCACCACAGAAATTGCAAGGTCTTTGTAGTGGTAAGATAGGGGGTTGAGTTGGAATGCCGTCTGTTTTTTTGTTAGAAGCCTTCCATATTCGCGAACTACAATTTTCTATGAAGTGGAAGATATAATTTTGTTATTTAGAAAGTTAAGCAAAGAAATTAATTTGTAAAGAATTTAAATTTAGAATCAACCTGCATCAGGTTTTGAGCGATGATTTGTTCCGGAAGTGGAACCTATGAAAATTTATTTGTGTTAATGTTAGATTTGTTGCTATAATTCTATTAGATGATTTATATAAAAGGAATAAGATTCAAACCTGTTTCATAAATACCGAAATAACTTATGTGGGATTTCCCTCTGTTGTCATGACACGTAACAAAGCCGGTTTGAACAGTTGAAACATGATTTCCTAATAAAAATAAGAAGAAAAAGAAAGAAACTAAATGAAATGTTTATCATATGATTTTAAAATTACTATGTTATTATGTAATCACGTTCAATATTTTTTGTTATCAGTTACCTTTACGCAATTGTTGCTGATTTGAGTTGCTCTCTTGAATCAATAAATCTCTATTTTTTGTTGATGATGTGCGTTTCCTTTTTTTTATCTTGACGGCTGTCTATGGAATGTACCAGTAATTAATTTGGAAAATATGTTAGATTTACAAGAGATGATATTTTTTGAAGCTAAGATTAGTAGTAAGATAACTAATGTTGATTTAAATCTAATGTTGATTTAAAGGAAAAATCAATACCAACAGAGTTTTCAGCTTGCGAAAGTAGATATTGTTTCTTTTTAGCATATGCCTCTCACAGTCTTCTATTTTTTGCAAGTCTTTGTTTTTCTGTAAGCAGAGGAATAAAGTATACATGTAAAAGGTTAGTATTTTAATATTCTTTTCTTTTATATAAGTTATGGGTAAATATGTGTAGAACGAATGTTTGAACAGGAGTTAAAAGTTTTAAAGTAAATTGTTTTGTACTTTTAACTAAAGATTGATCTGCATCTTCCTGGTCGGCACATAATCTTCGTTTTCGCATTTTTGCGTTGCACAGCTACATACTAAAACTACATAAAAGAAGTTTATTTTTGTATTAATAGAACAAATTGATTGTATTGAGCTATGTCCTATGTTTAACAATACTATTTATGTGGAAAAACATTAAATGGTACTAATTGACATATTTATATCATAATATTCTAAAGATAAATAAATTAAAGAATGATAATTATTTGGAATATAACATGCAAAAAAATTATGAAAGGAACAAATTTTTAATTGTAGCTAAAGAGTTAAAGCAAAGACAGAACCTGGCAAAGCTCAGTTAACTTGGTAGGAGAGTGTGGAATTGTGACTACTGCAGATAGAAAAAGAAAGGTAGTTTAGAAATTGAAAATAGCGAAATGGTTTGGATTGGACAAAAATCACAAGATTGATATTTAAATTAAAGAAATTTATTTTTTGTTATAACGCTCAAATAGTGGATATTTTTTTTAATTGTCCTTTATAATTGTTAATAATATTGTAAAAATGAAATTTTCAATTTAAAAAAAAATGCAAAAACCATATTTTAGCAAACAACAGTTATGGAAAAAAAAAAGTAACATTTTATTTTAAGGATTTGTAAGAGAAATTTACAGAAGTTTAATATGTGTATTTATTTTATATCAACTAATTTTAGAAAAATAGTTTTACTTTGAAAATTAGGACTAAATGCTAGAATAAATGAATAAATCATTGAATAAAAAAGTATATGTTGGTATAGTTTACAATCATGTCAAAGTTGTAATATAAGGATAACAATATTGAGCAAAATGCAAATTGTCTTGGTTAAGAAGGAAAAGAATGTCTTTGATAGTGAAAATGTCCTTGATTTGGTGAAAATTTTAATTCTCTGTTGATTTTATACGAGTTTGATGAAAGGATTTGACCTCATTTTCACAAAAAAATTCATCAAATTTTGGGGTTTGGTGAAGAATTGGAGATGCTGTAAACAGTTAAAAATTAAAGACTAATAAATATAACTGAGAACTTACAATTCAATGCTGAATACTGCAAAAGAAGAGCTCCTTTGAGTTTGCTTTGTAAGAACTAAGGACAAACTTCATTTGCAGCAAAAGTAATTAGAGCAACTGTAAACAAGTTGTGATTGTTTTTCCTTCTTAAATATGAATATAATAAGACAAATAGGACTGTGCATGGTAGTGATCATGATAGATGTATGGCATAGATGTAAATTGGTGAATTTTTTATTTTTAGTTTTATTTAGGTAAGGGATTTCTTTGAAAGTAAAAGGGTAAAAATGTAAAATAAAATTACTGATATCAAACCCTACAGATGAAGATTTTTAATCCGTAAATTGATTGGACATATATTTAATGCAAAAATCACTTCAAAAAGAATATATTTTTGTGAAAGTATAATGATAAAAAAGTGAGGCAATTAGAGATTAATTTTATTTTGACATCACTCAAACTTTTAGTATATATTACAAATGTGATGCAAATATAAATTTATAAAGAAAAATCAAATATTTAAATATAAAAAAATTTATGCCAAAAAAAAGTTGTTGAGATGTAAACAATTAAATAAAATGTATATTTGAATAATTTATTATTGTTTATAACTTAAAATCTAAACATCTAATTTTTATTTAGAAATTTATATCTAAATACCATTTATGATGTTTATTCAAAATTTGTATGATGTGCAAATAAAATTCCCTAAGTGGAGATGATTAATTTGTGAATTGATTTGACATTTATTTTAATGCAAAAATTAATAATAAGAGGAGTATATTTCACTTGGATCACAAAATTATGAAGATTATATTTTTACGAAAATAAATAAAGGGGTAAAATAGTGAAAGGTTTTGATAAGTATGAGATTTCTCTAAAAATATAATGGTAAAAAAAATCAAATAATAATTTGAAAGAGTCAAACATTTTAAGTGGAGATGATCAATTCGTAAATTGATTTGACACATTTAATGGAAAACCCAGCAGTAAAATTGCTATATTTCACTTGTGGCTACCATAGAAAGGATCTGACACACTAAAAAAATTAATGATTAATGCCCATTTATTGATTGAACACCAAATGGACAATGTAACATGATAAATACTATATTTTTATTTAATATATAAAGATAAATATTGTGGTTTATACAAATTGTAATGTATATATAAACAACAATTAAAAATAATTTGGTTGTGCATTTTTTTAATATAAGTATTAACATTTAATTTAATGCATAAATTTAATTAATTGTTTTTTTGGGGGCATATATTTGACTGAAGTTTATCTTATTTATTTGCTTTTGGATATTTGATTAATGTCCATTTATTGATTGAACACCAAATGGACAATGCAACATGATAAATACTATATTTTTATTTAATATATAAAGATAAATATTGTGGTTTATACAAATTGTAATGTATATATAAAACAATTAAAAATAATTTGGTTGTGCATTTTGTTAATATAAGTATTAACATTTAATTTAATGCATAAATTTAATTAATTGTTTTTTTGGGGGCATATATTTGACTGAAATTTATCTTATTTATTTGCTTTTGGATATTTTATATTTTTTAAACTAAAATAGTCAAATAGCAAGGTTTAATTTAATGTATACTCTCATAAATATTATAAAACATCTTGGTTCAAAAGGACAAGATTAGAACTTCATTTTATAAATATTATATATTTGGTGCAAATTAACGATGGTACAGCAACAACTCACTGCTCAAACCTTCGGAAAAAAACATAGCATAGCCAAAATGAGACAATATCACATACAAATCAATAGGAATTTTAAAAATATGTTAATCTAAGAAAAAAAAAATTAATTAAGCATATTAAATCTAAAAGGAAAATTTATATGCACTAAACTTAGCACAGGGTATGAGCACTTTAATAAAAGGTAACACTGTAATTGAAAAAGTTTAAATGCAATTGAAGTAGGAGAGTATTAGAAAAAGAAAAAAACATAAATACAGAGAGAAGAAGAAAAATAAAGAATGCTTACAAAAAAGTAGTACAACTTTTTACATGTGCATAAATACAAAAGCCAACAACTATAAATGCTTAAAATATTTGAAAATTATGTTTGGATCTTTATAACAAGCACACTGAACAACATGCAATATATATCTATATATAAAGAACTACATAATACAAAAATCTAAGACAAAACTAAGATGAGGCACTACTTTCATCATATCGCAACTCAAATTCAGAACCATCATATCTCTTTATAAATTCTTCTTTTTTTTTTTAGCAATATCTTCTAAGATCTTTTTTTCATATTGAATAAGTAGCTCTAGCTTTGGGTATTTGGTGAGTAGAGCTGGCAGAGTTCCAGTTGATGCCTTGTTATAATAGATCTCCTCCCTCTTAAACCATCGAAAGAACTCGATTTATTGTTTTAACTGAACAAATTCATTGATAGGTTCACTTGATATAGATGGCTTGGAAATCTCAAAACAATCGGGATTAAGGGCAACACAACAAGTTGTTGATTGATTAGTTGATGGAGAAAATGCAGCCTTTTACTTGCTATTGCCTCCAGTAAGAGGCCATGAATGACCTTTCATATTTAATATATGATTGCTGGAAGCAAGATAAAAAATAAACAAAAGGGGCAAATATGAATATTTTGAAAAAACAGTTAAAAATATAATGAATTTAAATAGACAACATTCACATTAGTTTTTAACATTATGTGTTTTCAACCAGGACATTTTAATGAATATGAATGCGATTCAAAAACAATAAGTTTATCAAAGAATATTTCTTTTACAGTGCGAAAGAAAAAAGAAAAAAGGAAAAGATAGACAATTCATTCCTATGTTTGGTTGTACACTTTGAAATACACATTCATTCCTATGTTCTAAGCACATTCATTCAAGTTTTTATCAAAACCAGTCCACCAATGTAACAGCCCATTAACAGTCCC